AAAAAAAATGAAAAATAAATTATCTTCTATTAATAACCATGATCAAAATTATCATTAAAATAAGCATAATTTTTTTTTTTTAATTTTTAAAAAATAAGATTTTTAAAAAATTGATCAGAATGTTAAGAGTTTCAGACTAAATTTCTTTTAAAAGAAAATTAGCTTCTTTAATTATAAGCAGTTTAGTTTTGAATGTCATTTTGAATTCTTTTGAACTAAAATTCATGTTATGTCAAGTACACTTGGTAAGAAATCTCTATTTTACACACACTCACTTGCACAATCAACTGTTTATCTCAAGTGGCAGAGGCAAGAAACTGAAACTGAGAGGTGTAAATGTTTGAAGGATGAAATCAAACATATAAGCAAACTGAATAGAAATAAAACATATCTATCCCAAAACAGGACAATTTCATTAGATACAAAGAAAAGAATGCTTCAATACTATATAATATCAACCCTCCTATATGATGATGCATAACTTAGGTGTGTTACAAGGCTGAAAGTATGAGGCATCCAGTGAGGATCAGTCATAATTGATCTAGCAAGACAAGCTTGCTCACCATTACACCACATTGAGATGCCTTCAATCCTCCTATATGGCAGTGTAAATTGGACAAATTTCTTCACATATGTAAAGATATGGGTCTACAGAAAGATAATGAGGCTATCATGGACAGAACATTTGAACAATGAGGAAGTTTTAGAAAATTGGTAACAAAAAGGACATTTGTACTGAGAGACAATTGATATTTTAGTGGTTCATTGAGGAAAGAAATCTTGTAGAATTCATAGGACATATGGAAGGCAAGCAGGACAGAAAGAAACATATCTAATGAGCTTGTGTGATTTTTTTTTTATGATTTCACCCCAAGCAAGGTGATAATACCACTAAGACGCAAGGGGTTACTGGGTTTGGTTTGGTTTGGTTTATGACATATCAACCTCAATGAGTTATTTAATGCTGACAAAATTTTCATTGTTGGTAATATTTTTTTCTTAAGATCTATTTCTGGTAATAATTTTCCTTCATTGGTAATATTTGTTTTTCAAAATGTATAGCTGGTAATATTTTTTTTTCTTTTAAATGGGCTGATGGTAATATTTTTTTCAAAAATGTATTGCTGATAATACTTATTTTTTACAAATTATTTCTGCTATTAAAACCTATTTTTACACTTTATAAGTTTTTTGATCCCAGTTTGGGGGTTAACTATTTGTTTATAGCTGGGACCCTAACAGGTGCTACCACCCCAAGTCAGGATGGACCTGGGAACACCAGCAATTAAGAGGTGGTTCCATGCTCCTCAAAACCTCATCAGAGGCCTTGCTGTTTGACATAGTTTATCATCTTACTCAGGATGCAGATGTAGTTTATCATCATACCCAGGACGGGGGCGGGGGTTACTGAGAGTGAAAGAGAATAGGAAAACGTTTTTGAGGAGAAAAGACAATAAAGGAATTTAGAAGGATAGAATTGTGAGAGAAAAAAACTATTAGAATAGTACTTATGCTTACATTTAGCTATTTTAAATTTTTATTTCAATTTCAGTCAATTATAAATATTTACATTTGTACCCTCTTACTTCTTTAAATAATGACCTGTATTTGCACTTATGATTGTTACTGAAATATTTGGCTAAAGTTGTTAAGCTCTAATATTTACCAATGCAATAAGGGTATTTCCTTAGGTATTTTGTAGCTGTGGAACACACAACTAACTTATTTATTCATTAAATGTTATGACACATCAGAAAATTCAAATAGGAAAATCCTGAAATCTTGAAGTTATTGGTTTGTATCTGTATTATGTTTATATAGTTTTTCACTTTAACCTTTTCACTATCTTCATATATTTTGGATTGGGTGCATGGCTGAGTGATTAAAACCATGGGTCATTTTGTCAAGGAGGTTACTTCTTGATAATATCAGCCTCGGAGATAATTCTAACTTGCTTGCATGATTGACCCAAACCTCATGAGTGAAATTGGGTCAACAAAACTGTTCAGAAGCATACGAAAACAGATGGCATTTCTGTTACAAAAAATTCCTTTCAATTAAGAACACAGGGATATATACACTTTTAATTAATGATAATTATATTTACATAAATTAATGAAACCATATATATGTTTATTGTTCATTTATGATAAACAATTATTATCCAAAAATGTCTGTGCACGTTTTCAAAAAAGTTTTCCAGTCTACAAAAAACTTTTTGGTAAAAAGAAGTTTTAAAAATTAAAAAAATTAAAAAGGAATAAGCAGATATCAATGATGTAAGCAGTTTCAAACTTGAAATTTGTAAATAACAGCTCGGTCCAATAACTCTGTCAAATATCAGGGGTCAATTTTACATCGTATTGATATTATGAACAGGACGTCTCCATTATATCTATAAAAAGATTAATATTTTTTGGTTTTGAAAAAAATTTTGTGGCTTGAGGAAAGTTTAATGAATGCTAATGTTGACAAATGTTGTGGCTTGAGGAAGGCCTAATGAATGCTAATATTGACAAATGGTGTGGCTTGAAGAAGGCCTAATGAATGCATATGGGCTTAAGGAAGGTTTAATGAATGCTAATTCTGACAAATGTCATAGCTTGAGGAAGGCCTAATGAATGCTAATTGTGACAAATGTCATAGCTTGAGGAAGGCCTAATGAATGCTAATTCTGACAAATGTTGTGGCTTGAGGAATGTCTAATGAATGCTAATTCTGATATGTGGCTTAAGGAAGGCAGTTTACTGAATACTAATTTCAAAAATTATTCTCTGAAAAAAAATTTCCCTATTTTTTAATGAAAGGAACTTTCTATTTAAATAGTTCCTACATATCCTGATTGTAATATGATTTTAATTTCTTAGATGAAGCATTTTTATCAGAAACCTGCCTTTCTATTAGTGCTGTCTTATTCTTTTTTTAATCAAATTCACCCCAAGCAAAGCAGTAAAATCACTAAGACACAAGGGCTTACTGAGTGCAAAAGAATTAAAAACAACAGAAATTTTATTAAGGAACGAGAACAATAGAAGAGTAATCAGGAAGACTTTATATAACGATTGACATTGCATTTAAATTCTTGATGATCAAAGTTGGCTGGAAGGCATGTAACTGGAAGAGTGTTCCACAAGTGAGAAGTGCAAGAAAAAAAAGCTGTCAGTATAGAACTTATGGTTCCATCTAGTCAATTCAACTGTAAATTGATGAGGCCTTGTAGCTAATCTAGTCAATCAGTTAAGTACTATACATGATACATGCTTGGGTGATCATGTCTCTTTTGATTTATGACTGACTAGGCAGAAGATTTTCCTGCTACAGGTTGCCATTTCTTTCTGTGGTAGACTGGTTACAAACCAAGACTAGGACCTAGTCTGTCCTGATATTTAACCCATAGCTGGGGGAGAAGAGATGGATATATATACCATTCCCAAATGTATTTACGCATATGTGAACACAACAAACCCAAGTGGCATTTGAAGTTGGCTCTCTGATTACTCAGTCTGAGCGGATATCCATTACACTTCAGTGCACATCTAGAACTGCAGTTAAATTCATAAAGTCGAGGTACCATAGTGAAGAGTTCATCCGAACAATTAGCATGAAATTATTTATAGAAAAGGCACAAGGTGGCAACTTTACAGCAGTGGGAAAGTGACTGAAGTCAAGATGCCAGGTAAGGACCAGTAATATTGCTGATTCTTTTTTGGATTTTATCAAGAATCTCTAAATATAGCAGGAGCACCGGATCATATGTGGAAGCAGTATTCAAAGTGTGGATCAATCATATAGATATGTAAGATATATTTTGGAGAGAAAATTTGTCTAGCACGACACAGTGAACCAACTTTCTTAGCAGCTGACCTAGCAATGGATTCAGCAGTCTTTCCACTGCATGTCAGCTAAAATGTTAGCCCAAGAAGACACAAGTCATTCTCTTGGAGGTTAGCATCAGCCATACATGATGGAAGGCAGAAAGAGGTCTCTCAGATGATTAATAGGGAGCAGTTTTGTTTTGGAGGTGTTGAAGTTAACAAGTCCCAGTTAATAGATCCACAAGTGAGAAGTGCAAAATTATTAGCTTAGAACTTACCGTTGCATCTAGCCAATTCCACTATAAATTGATTAGACCTTGTTACCAATCTAGTATTGCACTTAAATTTGTAAGGACTTGACACCATATCCATCCTGGGTATGACAATAAACTACATCGAACAGCAAGGCCTCTGATCAGGTGGTTTTGAGGAGCATGGAACCACCTCTTAATTGCTGGTATTCCCAGGTCCTAGCACCTGTTAAGGTCCCAGTTATGGGCAAATAGTTAGACCCCAAACTAGGGTCAAAACACTATGAAAGTGTAAAAATATGTTTTAATACCAGAAACACTTTGAAAAATAATTATTACCAGTAATACATTTAAAAAAAAACAAAAATTACCAGTGATACATTTTTTCAAAAACAAATATTATCAGCAATATATTTTTGAAAGAAAATAAAGAAGAAAACATTACCAGCTATACATTTTTTGAAAAAAAGATATTACCAGCAAAGGAAAATTATTACTAGAAATAGATTTTTGAAAAACAATATTACCAGCAAAGGAAAATTATTACTAGAAATAGATTTTTGGAAAAAAAAATATTACCAGCAAAGGAAAATTTTGTCAGCATTAAATGACCAATTGAGGTTGATATGTCATAAAACAAACCAAACCAAACTTGGCACCATATCAAAAAGTTCTTCACAACAATTACCATGAAAGTATTTATAGAAAAAATACAGGGAAGCTACATTATGGCAGTGGGAAACAGATTGAAACTGAGATGCCAGGTCAGTATCAATAATATTGCAGATTCTTCTTTGGATTTTATCAAGAATTTCACCAGACCATCTGTATTCAAAGCATGGATGAATAGTAGACATTTAGTCCAGAGAGTTACTAAAACCAACCTATCAAATCTATTGGTATTTCTTTCTATCAAAGTTGAGAGTGATTAAATATGTATGTCTGGTGGTTTTTAAATGATGTGACTTTTTTCTTGCCCCCCACAGGTCAATGTGTTGTTTGTCTGGGTGGCCACGAGAAGCTGCTCACTACGTGGCTGCTTCATTCTATGTCCAGTAGTTGTGATGAGAAATGGAAGGCCAATCGAATAGGACGTGATATATTCACGCGTTACCAACAGAAACCTGGGCCTCGAAAAGACAAGGACACACATATACCTGAGCGGCCATTGGTAAGTACAGTTTTACTTAAATATGGAAACATTCAATATTGTATATACAAGGTCTGTCTGAAAAGTAACAGGACTAGTGTCACAAACAATTTTTACATTATTCGGACTATTGTTCTCATCTTTGTCACCATATTTATTACAACGTTTCGGCTGTTATATACTCCGCCCTTTTTCAAGTGGTTGGAATGTCAAACTGAACCCTTTATTTCGCTCACTGGGGTAGACTGTTCTTGTTCCACATGCCATGTCTAATGGATGTCAGTTATCTCCTGTTAATTCACCTCTCCAAGTTCTCTACCACCAGGTATTGAACTTACACTCTTTGGGTCCTGTCATTGGATCTAACTAACGCCTTTATCCACTGTGCCATGTGTCCTTGAGGAAATATAGACAAATACTGAAAAAAGCGACATGGTTTCCCCTTCAAAGTAATCCTACCCTCGAGTATAATGCGTTTTTTTCCTCCTTCGCTGCCATGCTTCTATGCACTGCTGGAAGGATTCTTCTTGGGTGCCCCCCCCTCTGCTCCATCGATACAGCATTCTTGATGGTCTCCACGCCTTCAAAACAGGTCCCTTTGATGATCCCCTTGAGCTTGGAGAAAAGAAGAAAGTCACATGGAGCAAGATCAAGTGAAAGGAAGGTTGTTCTAGCATGGTAGAACAACCTTCCTTTCACAGCTGGATGCTCAGGGCATTGTGAGCAGGTGCATTGTCATGGTGAAGCAGCCACAATTTGTCCTGCCATAAGAACATGGGAAATAAAATGCAATGCTTGCTGAAAGCTAAGATTACAGTATATTTTAGATGATAACACAATCCTGTTGCCCATAGCTCACACCACACACCCAGTCCCATTACTTTTCAGACACACCCTGTATTATACTATATTTTCCCACAATGTAATACACCTATGATATAATCTATATACCTTGGGAAGGATTGGTACTGTAAGTAACCTCCTACATGCTGAAATATAGATCCACTGTAAATAACTCGCAATAGGTTGATAAGCTATAAAAAACAAATCTATCAGTAGTAAAGTTGAGGAGGAAAAAGCAATATTAGATGGATGATTATCATCTTTCTTTTTTATATCTTAATTTTACATTATGATTTCAAATCAAAATAATCATTTATAATATATATTTTATTCTAAAAGCAAACTAAACATGATTAGGCTGCACTAGAGGTAGTTTCATCCAACACATTGCAAAAAAATGACTCATAACTTAAATATCTTGTCAGATCGAGACATTCATTTGGACAATGTTCATGGCACTAAACCTGTTAAGAAATATCTAAATTGTCAGCTGTATACAACCGCTTTTTAAGATCAATGTTTAAAAATGGCTTTGAAGGAATGAAGCCTGTGGGTCTTGGCAAAGACCATTCTTCTTTGAATCTTGTGGACTGGTACTACAATCACAAGCAAAGAACTTTACCAAATAGCAGAAACCATATCACTTGAGGATTTTCAACAGCAGCAACAGCTGAAATGGATTGTATATGTAGCTCTAAAAGAAAATAATTATATAATCAAGATGTTGGCGTTTCACACTACACCAAGTAGAAGGTTGGGAAGGAAAGTCCGATCAGTAATGGAAAGAGTGATAACAGTTACTGGAGGTGAGAAAACTATTTTTATGAAAAATGGTTTTTAGAGAAAGATTTTATAAATTTCAACCAAAAGTAATAATAATAGCTTCTCGGTCAATGAATGTGAATGTTTCCTTATAAGGAAACAGCTAATATTATTGTTACCATCACCAAAGGATGAGTATGTGTTTAGGTGCTTGTCTATAAATAACTAAACTGTTGGGCTATAAAAGAACACTTTATTTAGTGAGAAATATGGCATTCATGATTGTTGGCTTTCTTTCTTTCCAACATTTTGTTAATAAATAAAAAGAAATAAAATAGCATATAATTTGCAAGCATTGGAGGAGTTTTAGAATACTAATTTTCAAGATAAGCAGACTCCGTTCCTCATTATCTGGAAGATTGATTTAACAATTCTGTGGCCTATCAGTCATATGCCATGCATGATACATACTTCGGCAATTATGTATCTTTCGATGCATGACTGACAAGGCAGATTTTTTTCCCATAGTTGGTTTCCATTTCTTTCTGCGGTAGACAAGTTGCCATCCAAGGCTATAGAGCCTGGTCTGTCCTGCTATTTACCTATAGCTGGGGGGAGAAGAAGAGGATTTATACCTTTCCCAAGGGTATTAGCATGTAAGTGTATGTAGTGGATTCGGCTGGAATTCGAACTTTCTGGGGTTTTTTGGGTTTTTTTTTTTTTTAAATTGGCCCTCATCAAAGCAGTAGGAGACACAAATTAACATTTCTTTTTTTTTTTTTAATCATTTCATCTCAAGTAAGGCAATAATACCTCTAAGACACAAGGGGTTACTGAGTGTGAAAGAATGAGAAAAGCAAAAACGCTATTAAGGAGTGAGAACAATAAAAGAAGTGGAATCAAGAAGACAGGAAATAATGATTGACATTGCATTGAAATTTTGGAAGATCAAAGTGGGCTGGAAAGTATTGAGATGGAAAAGAGCTCCACAGGCGAGAAGTACAAGAAAAGAAACTGTTAGCAAAGAACTTATGGTTACATCTAGCCAATTCAACTGCATAGTGCCTTGTTGACAATTAGGGCCCAGAACCTCATGTTGTCTATACCAAACCTGACCCTACCAACAGTGTAAAACATCAGACCACATTACCAGTCCTTCAGTCTTCAATTAACAATATTAAAAGCATCATTGTCTAGTGTTGTAATATTAACAGGGCCACCCTGGAGTATCTTCTGCTGTCATATTCCATGGAAGCGAAAAATGCTGAACTGACCTACTATATTGAATGTGAATGGGATTTTCACCTATTTTTGTTTGTTATTACAAAATTCTAGCCAGATACCTCTTGCTATGAACATTAGCACATTAACTTTCAACCTTGATAACTCATGATTGGCAGTTTTTATTATGACCCTGACCAGAAGTTCTTGTTTATGTGGTTTTGCCATCAAGGTTACAACTGTAAATGTTTTCATTTTTTTAATGCAAATAACTAATACCTCATGTCTAAGACAGGAATGGCAAACTTGTATTTGCAACCAAAAACAAACTTGTCATGGGAAACATTTATTGAAAATATAAAACATAAACAAAGCATTTGAAAGATTTTTATTGCCTAAGTTGGCATTTAAAGTCAGATTTAGTAACTGACCTCCAGCAGTCAATGTGTTATGGACCTATGGTTGGCCACTGCACTGTTCACAATCGGTGGTAATGCTTTTCATCATATATATGTTCCATTGTTCTTGCAACATTACAGATTGAGAGCTTTCAAAAATGGAAAGTTTCATCAGTCTGGTACCGATTAAAATGTTCCATTCCTACTCTGCTAACGATGTAAAAATATATTGTCAAAATAGTGCCATCTAATGTTGCAATTCTATGCCTTTTGGCACACCCGTGTGTCTGAATATCAGTGGTGACTCTAGGTCATCAATGTTTGGCAGGCTCATTACAATGTTTAACAAATTATATGATTGGTATAACTTAGATGCTAAAATTATCTCTTTACTCTAACTAATATATATAACTTTTAATAATTTCTGTGCATGAAATAAAAAAAAAAATCACATTTTGGTATTTTAATATTAATTGTAATAATTCTATAAAAAAGCATTTATTTTAAAAAAACTTTCCAGACATATCTATCTCAAGTGCGTGTTTGTACATATGTCTATGCGTTAGTGTGTTTATGTATCTCTCTGTGAATTTTTACTTTAATTTATTGTACGTTTATGATCAGTACTGCTGACAGACATCATATTTCCTCAACATTACCCAAGTCACACTCTTCATTCCAACCCTCCAGTCGATAAGTTCAGGCTACCACTTTCTTGGATTTTCGCAGACTTTTAAGTTGAGCGAAATTTAATTTGCCCGACATTTCAATTGATACATTCCACTAAAATATCTTATTCTGTACGAAGTAAATTATTTAAAATGGATATTTGAAAACATTAACTTGAAATAAAAATGTATTCATTGAAAAACAGGGCATACAAGTCATTAGAGATTTTAAAAATATTATTTGTAAAATTAAAGTAAGAAATACATTGCCTATTACGTATGTCTGCAGCATCAATAGATGTATGCAGCCTGACTAGCCATGTTAACTTTATTTCATTCTTTTTTTTACTTACTTTTTTTCAATGAAATGTATTTTGGTCAGTATTTTGAGGCATGTAGTCAAACAATTAATTTTGGATACAGCTGAAGTCAAGAATCAAAATGACACACTATGAAAGATTTTTGTTGTTTTGAAATAGATATACTTGAATGTTGATTTGCTCAGGCCAAGCCCAACCACCTAGGTCACCACTGATATATATATATATATATATATATATATATTAATGGATATACATAATATCCAATATCAATAGCACAACCTGGAGTTTCAGGCAGGTCTTGCAACCTTTTGGTATTGCAAGAACTGCATGAAACTCTATAGTCATGCTATTGACATTGATATTATGCATATTCATTAATATATACTTATAGATCTGTTTCATAACATTGAACACTCTCTTTATAACACCTGAGCAATAAATATATTTATATGTACAAGCAAGTATATATATGTGCATGTAGATTTTTATCCTAGCCATTCATATATATATATATATATATATATATATATATATATATATATATATAATGAAGAAATATAATCTTAAGGTGTGCTATATTTATGGGATAAAGTGCTCAATATCAGAGATAGACCATGTGTAAATATAAAAGTGAACATTGAAGTCAACACTTAGTGGACAGGCTGTTTCATGCTAGACACAATCGTTAGGCCACCTAGGTTCTGTTTCATCTGGTGGCCTGATGATTGCATCTAGCATGAAACAGCCTGTCGCCTCTAAGTGTTGACTTCAATGTTCACTTATATATATATATATATATACACACACATACATACAAGTTTCATGAAAACAACTGAAAAGGTACTGCAGTTCATTTTTTTATTTAATTTTTCATGTTTTTATAATTTTCTTTTTTCTGGACATAAATTATATCAAATGTAAATTGTCCATGTTTTGCATGTGCTAACCGAGGTTGGAAAATAAAATATTTCTATAACTCTAGATACATACAAAAAACAATCCATACATTCAGTTAAAAGTAAAAATAAAATTCATCCTTGATAATTGCTAAAAGTATAGCTGAACATGCTTGTACATACAAAACATTTGGACAATTCTTACATAATTTATACCCAGAAAAGAAGAAAATTATAAGAACACATGAAAAATTAAATAAAAATCTTAACCGCAATACCTTGTCAGTCATTTTAAAGAAAACTTGTATAAAAGAAGGATTACTGCCCAAGTACACAATTATTGTCAGTTGTTTTTAATGAAACTTGTCTATATACATGGTTTTTTTGTTTTAACACTCTTCAAGCACACACATGAAATTATTTTCAATTCTTTCTCAATTTCCTTTGCAGAATTACAGTTTTTCTATTGAGGGAAACAGTAAATCTTTTGTAAAAGTAAAAAATTCACAAGGCAAGTAAAAACTTTTTTATTAATATACAAATATTCCTTTTTGTTATAGTTTTGGCTTTCATAAAAAAAATCAGTTGTATACAGTTTTAAAAATTTATCTTAATTGAGAAGCATTTGTATATTCCAATTTTTTTGTTGTTTTTTCTCATTTTGATAAGAAGCGCCATTTTAAACATTTGTAGCAATATCATGGTTACATGTATTCACATTCAATGTAAAAATTTACTAGAAACTTGTTTTATGACTACCAACTCCATCTTCATTTACCATGTGTCATGCCTCTTCAGGGTATTGATGATTATGGCTCTCCACAATTTCCTGTCCTTTGCAGCTCTCTTTTTTTTTTGTAATTTTGCTATCTCTCCTAAACTGTTCTGCCATCCATTTACAAAAGCTTGTTAGGTAGGTTATGCACTCTGCTCCTCAATATGTCTTGTGTGTGCCAAATTTTCCAAGCCTTCTTTCCTAATTATGTGCCATAGAAATTTCAGTCAGCAATCAGTGTGAGTCAGAATCAGGTCAGTCATAGGTGCAATGAGAGTCAGGTTCAGCCACATAGAAGATTAGTTCTTTCTAAGCACATTTCCTGATCTCACTACTTTAGTTGCTGGAAAGTATCTTTCAACTCAAAATTTCAACAGCCTCTTTCTGATTCTAAGTATAAATGTCCTTTTTGTTTTCTTTTAAAACTTCCTCATTGCTCACATGTTCAGTCCATGGTTATCTCAGCATCCTTCTGTAGAACAATATTTCTGTTGCTTTAAGTCTCCTCTTCATCTGTGAGAAAATTGTCCATGTAGGATGACTGATATTAGATAACAGTTTAGCACTCTTTTCTTTGTCCCTAACAAATTTTTTTCTGTTTCTTAATACTTTGCTTACCTTTTGAAAGGCATTTTTTCTATCCTAATACATCTTTGGATTTTGGTATTTTCCATTCTCTGTTAAAGCTCTTCCCAGATATTTACATGGCTGTACTTGTTTGATTTTGCCATATCCAGTTTCTTAGTTTCAATTTGTAGCTTGCATTTTGGCCGGCAACCACTTATTTCGTCATTTTACAATTGTTGGTTAGTCCTTGCTGACCAATTTAAATAATTTGTTCCTCCTTGATCGGAGTAATTTTGTTGGATTTAATTTACTAGGTTCTCTTTCATCCTTGTTGTTCTATATACTGTATCCCTTCATGATGTGGGTCATCAAGGTTTTTACAACTTTCTATCTTTTGTAGTTCTATGCATATCTAGACTGCAATTGATTAATATGTCTCTTATGTCAAAATTGTCCATCTTCAACAATGTACATCATACTACCAAGGCACTGAATAATTTTTCTTTCTTACCAATTTTCTTTCCCAGACTTAAAGTTTTTTAAAAAAAAAACTTTATTACTGATCTTAAATGATCTGGTAGGTTGAAATTGTTGAACTTGCTTCTTATTCCTTGGCAAAAAAATGGATCTAACTTTCCTAGCAAACATGAGCTCCGCAGATTATATTTTTCAGTGATGTTTGCTATTGATGTTATTTGATACACACTCAAAAAAATCTTGTAATTCTGTTTCTTGAGCTTTTAGCTTTTCTTAATGTTCTCTTGAAGGTATCAAAAAATTATTCCACTTCAACCTCAGATGATCAATCGATGTAGTCAAATGTTCATTCACATAGTTTTTGCAGAAATTTTTAAACTCATTAGAAGTAAATGGTGTTCCATTGTCAGATACCACACTGGCAAGTGCTCCAAAACTTGCAAAAAGTTTGTGCAAGAATTTAATTCTTATTGCAGTAATCAGTTGTTTACACTTTAAAATTTAGGGCCATTTTGTAAAACTGTCGACTGCAATTATATAGTATGAACAGCTCATTGGTCCAGCTAAATCCATATGTAGTCTTATTCATGCTTTATTAGTGCTTGGACATGTCGGACAATTTATAAATGGTAATTTTTCTGGTGAATTACAACCATTAAATTTTCTAACTGTATTTTGGATATCTTTGTCCAACTTTGACTTATATACATTGATTCTCATCAGTGACTTCATTCTCATGATTCACAGATGTCCTATGTGGATTGTTTTAAAATCCTTTTTTGTAGTGATAACAGAATTACAACTCTAGCCACATACAAAAGAACTCCATCACAAATAGAAAATGCTGTATTATTGTTAGCAGGTTTAATTTTACTTTTACTTGATTTCGACTTAACAACATTCATAGTTTTTTGAATAAACATATCCTTTTTAGAATGAATTTTGATAACAATTGATTGTTAGTCCTTGCTGACCAAGTTAAATAATTTGTTCTTCCTTGATTGGAATACTTTTGTTGGGTTTAATTTATGAGGTTCTGTTGCATCATTGTTGTTCTATATGCTGTGTCCCTTAAGGATGTGGGTCATCAAGGTTTTTACAACTTCCTATCTTTTATAGCTCTGAGTAATTTTTGCCTTTTTACTACCCCTCCACTTCCCTGTTCTGCCATCCATTTACACATGCTTGCTAGGTTTGTTACTTGCTGTTTCCCTTTTGCCTTCAAGCTGTCGTGTGAGTATCAAATTTTTGAAGCTTTCTTTCCTTGTAAATGAGACATATCCATTGAGCCTTTATTGATTTCTTGTATAAACATACATATTGAATTGCTTTTTATCTCATAGATTCTCTTTTAGATCTTGTCTTCCAAGATATTTCCACTTGCTGTCATTACATAGGGTGTTGAGTTTTCATCTTAGTTTATTGGTTTGGTTGTTTCTTATTTGTTTTATTGTTTGTTGTAAATAAGCCATTAATCAATGGTAAAACTAATAAACAACAACCAAACCAATACACTAAGATGAAAACTCAACACCCTATGGACTACCAGTAATTGGAAATATCTTGGAAGACCAAATCAAATAGAGAATCTATTGTTAAATAATAGTTTAGCAGACTATTATTTTTTAGTTTAGAGATTTCTTCAATTTGACTTTTGAGGTCAGATACAGGACAAAACAAAGAAAGTCGATTTTGATTGACTGAACTAGTGTTGGAATGATAGATATAGAAAGTCTTTTTTCAGAGAGTTGGTTCTTACACGTTGAATAATGTAGATGCATTCTCTATCATGTCTGGATAGGCTCCCCAATGGAGTTGGGTGAGAGAGCAACCCACTGGCTAGTTAGAAATGTACACGTCGATGTGTTTAATAAACTAGTTAACATTAAAATTCCCTTTGTTGAAGTTTTTTTTAATCTCCAAATCAAAACAACTAGCAATCACCAGCTGAGAGAAGAAAGAGAAGATACAACATTGTAAGTAATTAACACAGTGACCAAAAGACACCAAGAATGAGGGGGCTGTACAACACTATCAGATATAAAGCTGTCCAGTATTGAACTGGAAGCCCTCAGCTTTGGTTTAAAATGTGCTACCAGATTTGTAATGGAGATATAGTTGATATATATCTTTAGTTGACATATATATTTTTATTACTTAAACATTATTTTCTTTGAGTTTTTTTTTTGTGGAAAAAAACAAACATTTAAGTAATAAAAATATTTTAGATTAATAAATAAAAAATCCATTCCTTTCTTTAGAAAATATGCACTCTATCTATCTATCTATCTATCTATCTATATATATATATATATATATATATATATATTTTTTATATATATTATTTATATATTATATATGTGCAGTACTTATTGGAAAGCGCTCAATATCAGTGATAGAGCTAACATATTTAGTTGGATTGATTTGAGTTAGTGATCCTGGGTTTCATGCTTTTGCGATCGTCAGACAAACTCAGTTGTCTGACGATTGCAAAAGTGTGAAACTCAGGGTCACAAAGTCAAATCAATCCGACTAAATATATTGATGTCAACACTCAGAGGCTCTGAGTGTTGACTTCCATGTTCACCTTTATATTTATATTTACATACGCTCTATCTCTGATATTGAGCACTTTATTGCGCAAATATAGCGCACCTTAAAACTATATTTCTTATATACAGGGTGATTGAAAAGTAGCTCCCTATTTTATATGTGATGGACTCTCCTTTCTTGTAAAAATTATAGTTAGATGGGAGAGTCCATTATGCATAAAAAGGAGTTACTTTTCAATCAGCCTGTATATATAGATGACAGGAAGAAAATCAATGACTGTGTAAAGTGAGGTCTGAAAAGCTTCTGAACACCTCCTGACAAAACTAAGCTGGTGCTGCCTGAAAAAGAACTCATAAATGTTCAAAGGCAAATTTGTCTGAAGACTAGTAAGATTCCTTTGGAACAATTTCATCAGAATGTCAAAATAATGGAAATAGATCATTGTATAGTGGACCCGGATAAATATTTTTAATTCTTGTATAAGCCAGGTATCTTCAGGACGTGGACAATTATACCTCTCCACCACTGCCTGTCTTTTCTAACTCATAATATGTTTTGTCTTTTTACCATACCTTTCATTTCATGTTCTGCCATCTATTTACCCAATCTCACTCGGTATGTTGTTGTTTCCCTCTGTCCCTCAATATGTTTTGTGATTGTCAAATTTTCCAAGCAATGTTTTATCCCATGTCCTTGAAATTTCAGTTGTTTTTTCTGATTCTAAGTATAATTGTCTTTTTTTGTTTCCATTTCCTTTTGTTACTCACACGCTCCATCCATGGTATTCTCAGTATCCTTCTGCGCATTCACATTTCTGTTGTTTCAGGTCTCTTTTTCCAACAAGCAGAAATTGTCCAGCACATTAGAGGACTGATATTGCATAGCAGCTGAGTACTCCTGTCTTTGTTTCTAATCAAATTTTCCTGTTTCTTAATACTTTGCTTAGCTTTTGGAAGTCATCTTTCAGTGGTAGCGTTCTTTAATATCAGAGCAAAAATATTAAAAGAATTATGATGCAATTAGAAGAATTTAATAATTCTTATCCATTTCTTAAATTTATACAAATACACTCATACCTTGTTATTACGGACCTCCTTTTTAACTGATATTAGAAGCAACAGACAAAATCTGGAGCAGCC